TTGAAGTCGGGGTCAGCGTCGAATTACGAAGGCGAGTATATCCACGACGCCCAGCTATATCCAGAGCTGGCCGAAGACCCGTATAACATCAGGTTCGTGAAGAAGGCGGTCGATCCGTCTAGCAAGAAACGACGCAGAAGGAGAGGCGTTCACACCTGCAAACTCTGGTGGCTGGACAAGATCTGCTAGATCCGGTGCACGTTCTCAGCTACCTTGTCCTCCTCTCCTGACATGCCAGGAGAATTGTCCAAATCGAAGCAACAGGAATTTTGAAAGGACGCGGAGCGTGGAAGTGGAGAAGGATCCGAGAATGGATAGGATCGGGCCGAGGCATGGCCGTGGCGTCCGTATACACGCGTAATAAACGTACTGAACACTATCAAAAACAAACAAAAAAAAGTTTTATACCAAAGTCTATTTGTGTATTTCGAAGATGCCAAAAACATTTAACGTTATATCGATTATATTGTACCGCGATAGGGTGTAGTGTGTAAGGATTTCAAAAGGGAACCGTGCGGCGTTTTGTTAACCAGATATTTGCCTACGAGGATGCTGTCCGCGAAATCGTGACCACCGGTCGAACGATTCGTGGAACATGGATACGTGAAACGTCCCGTTATCAATGAAGAGGACCCTGAGGAGGTTCCTGTCGTTTGGGAAATCGAATTTCTCGAGAACAGACTAATTATACTCGGACGATATTTATGCAGAAATGGAATTCGAGGAAAAAAACTACGAGACGGGAAACGGTACGTGAATCGCGAAGGTATAGGTGAAGTTATGAAGCGCCACTACATCGATCCGACGTAAGACGCGAAGGAAGAATGAAAAGGAAAGCTGGCCATTCGTCGTTGAGGCGAATCGAGTGAGAGAAACTAGTCAATATATAGCTTTACATTGACGTATAAACTTTTTCCAATAGGATAAGGACAAAGAAAAAAAGATGATCGTCGATGATGTACCATGCGAGGAGCCGTGTGCACCCATCAATTTATCCACGCGATATCTTTTAGCCTTACGCTAATTTGGATCGCAAATGAACGTGGAAGGAACACACACGTATCTCAACAATGAATGGCCATGCGAATGATGACTGATCACTATCCAAAATATTGTGGAATCAGGATTCTAACAAAAGGATCCGAAGAATTAGGCTGTTATGCAGAAGACTGAGGTTCGATTTCCAGTACCCTGATGCCTATTTCTCACGGATTCCTACAATATGGCGGTGGACGAAGATCGATAGAGCGCAAGAAGATGAAAGGAAACGCGAATAATCAACGTCCAAAGATATTATGTCTTCAGGACTCCAGGATCCTAATGGAATCTGAAGAAGTAGGCTGCTGTGCAGAAGACTATGGCTCGATTTCCAATGTCCTGACGCCTATTTTTCACGGAATCCTGCAGTATGTTGGTATAAAAAAAGCAGAACAGGCGATTAGGCAGTCGAAGAGGAAAGAGGCGTTACTAAGGTGTATTATAAATGTGGTGCTTTCTCGCGCGATGAAGAAAAATAGAAAAAACAAGTCGGTGCAACAACGTTGATTAACGGTGAGCGTGAATAATTAGAGGACATCGGAACACACCGCATAGAGCGTGGCTAAGTATTTTTAACGATGGATGTGTCCTAACAGAAAAAAAATATTCCCCCTTTTTAGCGCTAGCGTCCATTTCCTCGAGAATTGATGTCGCATATGCGTACGAATTGTTGTTCGAAAGGGAAACGTTATTATCGTTGTGAACGAGGGACGAATTAGATCCCCGGAACGACAGATGGTAACAAGTAAAACTAAAAAAAAAAAATTCACACAATGAGTGAGTGAGAAAAGAGAGTGAATGTGAGAGAGAATGGTTAAAAAAACTCCATTATCGGTAATAATACGTATACACGATATTATTGCATATTTGTGCTTGCTGGATATGAATAACGGAACGTTAACTATGTTTCTTCACCGAATACTAAGTGTGTATATCTAAATTTAATGCTCGTCAGTACCGATCGTTTTCGCTGTGTACTGAACGCCATACCATACATCTACGTATGTAAGAATATTATTTAGCACCGATACCCTTCACCCACCCTCACACCCCTTAATTACAATATTATCTGCCTAAGTGGCTAGAATTTAATTCAAAATATTATATTAAATTTTTACTTCAAATGGTTCTAGGACCCCTAGGAATCTTTCTAAGACGTTATGAAAGAGTTTAAAAAATAGTAAGGAAGTGGAACTTGTTAAAGTTTAAGAAAAATTTTTCCTATTGCTTAATTGATTTTAATCTCGTATAAAAGTGACCAAGACTGTTCTTGTTTTTTATTTGCAATTTAAAAGTTTAAATAAATATTCGGATGTTTAAAAGGTGCCAGAAATGACGGCATGCCACTTAGAGAGACGATACTGTATCTGTCTATCACGTAATCTATTTCCTTTCAAACGAAACCATACTTCCCTACCCTTTTATCGATTTCGTATCAGTTTCTTTTACTCCAATCGCCCCGACACGTTATTTTTTTCCTGGTTTCTTCGAACGTTTGTATACTCGCTATTGAGTATTTTGCAACGGCTTTAGAAAACTACGGCCGTTCACGGATAGATAGTCGCACAACGACATTACTGTCTGGATAGATGAGAAAACGAGAAAAATGAAAAAAGAATTATCTTATTACACTGTGTGTATAAAAGAACAAAAAAATTATATATATATATATATATAAAAAGAGAGAAAAAGAGAAAGAGAAATAATATAGGAAAGCTTCGTGACGTATTTTTGTCTTGAACGAGTGTTTAGAGCAACATTATACACCGATCCTTGAAAGTGGTCCAAACGAGGTTAAAAATGCTCTTTTTTGTTTTTAAATATCGCACATAAACAATTTTGAATCGCGTTCTTTCTTCAAGAAAAAAAAAAATGTTCGTCCTTTCGCGTTTCCTTCCGACTTATGCTGCCAATGTTATTCGAATTTCCGTGAAAGGACGAAACGTTGAAAAAGGACCTCGAGATCGTTGGTGATCGAACCACAGCTCTTATTCACGTGGACATCTAAACCAGATCTTTCCAAAAACGAATCCCATGGTCAAACAATATCCTTCGTTCTACATTTCTTTTCCATGGTGCTGATTGACATGGCGTTAATCACCTCTAACACGATTTTCCGTGAATTGTATAAATCTTCAGCTTGTAAAATTGACAAAACAAGGCAGAAAAGTAATTTTGAACGATTCGTGTTGTTGGAACGATTACAGATGTTGAAAGTTTCTGAATAAATCGGTCATTTCATTTGCAACAACCTGATACTTGAATTGGACCGTTTCCTGTATATTAATTTTTCAAATTTGATTTTAAAAATTTGTTTTTGCAATGGGAGAGGTCATTAGAGACCGATACTACAAATTTAAGTGGCAAGTGAAAAATTTTAATTGAAAACTGACAATTTTATACCATTTTTTAGTATATTATTTTTTCAGTATATGAAAGTTTCTTATTTGAAAATTCGAATGCCTCATTTTAGTCGACGCATAATTGCATAATTTCGTAGGTCTGAATCACAATTGATAGAAATTTTTACAAGATTCATTCATTTTTCTAATGACACGGAAAGGTCTGATCTAAACACTCTGAATCTACTGACTCCCATCCAGAAACACCCTTTCCAGCCTCCTCATCCAAAATTCCCATTTATTCGTAATCTGTAACCATATATTAACGTTGAATCGGCGATGGCGTTCAAAGGATAATTGACTATTTTTGAAAAGACAAAGAGAGAGAAAAAGAAAGAGAAAAGTATCGAGCGTGTCAAATTATTAAGCGAATCAGTGCCAGCTGATTTTAAAAGACGGATTCAACGTGCAGGGTCTCAAGAATCAGTCAGTCCCAACTGTACTTCTTCGAGTATCTAATTATCGTTATAGAAAAAAAGGAACAGAAGTGACAGGAAAGAATTAAAATAAAAAAAATAAAAAAAAAATTGAAACAGGATTACAAAAGAGTGAATGGGTTTCGCTCTCTTAACTTCCGTGAAGTTTCGTCTCGTTTCGCTAAAAACTTTCTAAATAGAAGCAGGCGTTCGATTCGCGAATTACAATTATAAATATAAATCTATAAATATACGTATAAATAAATAAATATATATATATAAATATAAATATAAATAAACTTCTGGAATTAACGGGGTAGAACAGCTCGAGACGTGTCTCACCGAACGGTTTCGATCATCATTACTATTTAACTATTATCGCATCAATTATTATTAACAACCACGGGATCGTACGCGAAATGACGTGAAACAATGATTAATGATACGTGTAATATGTGGCCGTGTTTGGTGAATCCGTCGTCGGACCATGTGGTGTCTATTACTCGAATTCTCGCGAAGCGAAACCTCGTCCTTTTTGTTCTTTTTTTTTTATATTTTATTTTTTAACCCTTGTGCACCATTAAAATTGTTATCATATTGAATATCTTTCGATCCATAACAGAGTTAAACAATTTGGGAGTATTAATAATATACGTTACCTGTCGTGATAATGATGAAGCTAATCGATATCTTTGAAATTAATGAAAGAGAAGGAAAGACCAACTTTGAATAGCGTTAATATTGTACTAATAATCCAAGATACCAATTTCATAATTTTCATTTGAAAATTTGTCGATCGTATGCTTAATAACGAATATTTTAACAATTGTAATTATTTCGGGTTAATTTAACCTGAACGGTGCAGGAGGGTTAAGGTCGAGGTAATCAGGAACAGCACAGAAGTTTGAGCACGCGTTAGAACGAGAGTGATTTATCGAGAGGAAAGAATGAAAGAGAGAACGAAAGTTAAGAACGAAGTAAGAGAGAGCGAGAGAGAGAGAGAGAGAGAGAATGAATGTGCAGAATCTGTCATGCTGCAGCTACTACGACCACTACCCTAAAAGTAGATTACGCTACTTTGCCGCTGATCTAATTGTTTACTGTCACGTGTTGCTGTAAACCTAAACTAATACGATACGATATATTTTATTTATATAATCTAATCGACTGTATTTATTGTAAATAGTCACGATGTTTGCTATGATATAATATATCTGTAATTGGATGGAAAACCGTCTGATTGAACTACGTCCAACCCTTATCCATTAATGACCAAAATGTCTCCTTGTACACTTGGATGCAATGTAGGACTTTATTCTCTTTTTCTTTTTTCAATTCATTCTGGCAAGGATACACATCGCGAGAAGGAAATTTAATAACTGCAAAATTAAAATAACTTCAATTGTGAGCAATATTTCAGGCGCGAACGATGATTACACTTACTGCAATTAAAAATAGTAACACAGTTGATATACTGATTGCATGAACGTGAGACTTCAGTAAAAGAACTGCATTTTTCAGACATCCTGATTTATAGGATACATCAAGTGTCATCTGTAAGCACTGCAAAAAATAATTTTTAAGAAAATTGAATAATTCTTCAGAAGGAAATCATTTTTAATAAATATTTTACTTCTTCGATGTTCCTAGAACAACAACTTTTCGGAATGTCGATGGAATATTTAGCCCAGTCATTCGAGGAATTTATTCCGCAACATTTCAACTGAAATATAATTTTTCTTTAACATTTTTGAAGTATCTGAAGCGGAGATATAACTTCATGCTCACATATCTGTGAGTGTTGTCCCAAGCTTCCTTGCTTGAAGGCAAGGAATCGTAACGTCGGATGGAGGAGACCATGTCAGCATGGATCCTCCTGATAATCTCTTCAAATATCCAGAAACTCATTATAGCGCTAATAAATATGACGCATAGAAACAACAGATAGCACCATGCATACTACAAGAAACAGATTTTTAAAATTACAAATACTCTATAGCAGAGGAAGTTGAATCACATGAGAGTATAACTTACGATGTTTAGAAAATTCCTTCGTTTTTTAAGCAAGCCAAAAATTCCAAATAACGACACGAAAGAAGCAATTAAGCTTATTAACAGTAATGTCGTTACGAATAAACGTTGACCGATCAATCTCGACATTATTAAATTGTCTGTAAGTGTCCATATCGAAATAACGCTACCAACAATGCCTGCAAGCTTTGTTTAGTTTTTTTATTAATTTCTATACAATTTTATTTAGTCTCAGATACTCAGGAAATTTGGAACTACTATGATTTAATTCAATCACTCACAAACATTGCCGAGTTGAGCACTATAAAGACAAATTTAATGCATCGTTTTGACAAACGATTAGACGAAAATTTATGGAAACCTATTCCAAGAAAGTATGGCTTTTTATCAGTGGATGCGGTAGCATTGCTATCAGTAATGTCTTCTTCATCCTCCGATTCCGTTTCATCTTTATCGTTTCGATGATCATTGTCCTTTGTACCGGTGAAAAATTTGTTCCAATTCATGTGCGTCATTCAACCCGAATGTAGCTCAGAAAACAATTGAACAAAAATGACTTAAGGACAGGCATTCAAATACACTGAAGTCATTTAACACGTTGGGTGTCATAGGGGTCATCGATGACCAGTGACGCCATATGCATCGCATATTAACAAATTCGAGAGTCATAATATCAGCGCGGCACCCAACCTATTAATAATCTTTCAAGCTTTATTTTTTTGAAGTATTATTATTTTGAAGAATAACATAAATATTTTATAATTACAAAAGAAATAATACATATTTTGTTTACAGCTTTGCTTTGAAGATGACATATATTAGTGCAAAATATACTGATTACGCATGAATAATTAGAGAAATACTAGTTTAGGAATTATTAAAGCTTATAACTAAAAACGACCGCGAAAATTTCCTCTACCTCCCCAATTTCCACCGCCCCATCCACGTGAATTCTGCATTCTATATCCTCTATTGCCTCCACCTCTATATCCGCCAAAATAACTGTTTCTTGAATAACCACTACCTTCACCTCCGCCGCGAGGACTTCCACGGAAACCACCACCCATTCTCATCATTTTTGCAGGATTGCCGTTGTCCGAATAGAAATTGGTCGAATGTCCCCTTGGTGGCCTTCGTGACTGAAAACCACCACCAGTAATTTGATCTAGATTATAACGACAGGAATTCATTCCACATAATGACTTAATAACATTTAATACCTACAAATAGAAAAAATAAGATGTAATTATTTGCAATCATATTATGAAAAATAGAAGTTATCATAAAATATTACTTTTTCTTCATTTGGACTTAATTCTAAAATAGTTTCTGGTTCTTTTGCGGCTTTCACGACAAGACTTTCTAAAGCGGGTCGTAAAGCCACTATTGCTGCTGCGTGATTTGGATCCATATCTAAATTTATCCAATTATCCAATTTTACGACACCGTTAGTGTACTCAACTTTTCGGGAACCAAATAATAGTAAATGAATTGGCGATACCATAGTCATTTGTTTACAGGATACTGCTCTTGTACGAATCTGCGAAAGAGTAAGATAAAAATTAACATCAAATTATAATTATCTAATCGCACAAAGAGTATTTTACCTTTTCTCCAAACACGAAAAATGGAAATGGGAAATTCTGTTCAAAATTACTGCAATTCACTGAGGTCTTATGAATTAATGCTGCTTTAGATTCAGTGGTAAGCACCTTCCTCTTTTCTTTATGATAACAAACATTTGGATAGAGACCCATACATAACAGTGCGGTAATTGTATCAAGACGAACATCTGCACCAGCCTGATAATTCAATGGCGTGGGGCAAAGAGTTTCTTGCGGAAATCCAGCATTTTGTAGAAGTGCTTGCAATTGGTTCTATGTACAAATAATATTGTTAGCATAAATTTTTACGATGAATTAAATTAGCATATGTTTGGATGTACCTTAGCTTCCCAAGTAATCCTTAATGTGGGCATGCTTAAATTTTTGGAATCACAAAATGTTTGCTCCGCATATTCTCCACCTAGTCTAGCTTCTTCCCATGCTTGAAAAGCGTGTAACATTGCTACATGATCACTATATCTTGCACCGGCAAACCATTTTTGCTGTGCGGATAAACGCCTTACATCAGGTCCCATATTATATACTTCTGGAAATGTTGTACTATTCGCAGCCATTGTAGAGAGTGCATCACCAACTCGAAACATACAACCGAGAATCATCATTTTACCTAAACGTGGTTCTATAGGCAATCGAGCCAATATTTTACCTAGAGGTGTTAATTCATCATTTTTGTCTAAACACTTCATCTCTATAATAAATATAAAACAGTCAACATAAGGATAAATATTTAATATAAATATTTGGTTAAAGTAACATACCACGTAGTATGACCTCGGCTTCAATTACAGCATCTATCGGAGGTGGTTCAATTGCTTTCGATAAAAATTTTCCAATACTACCTAATCTTAATAGTTTAATGCTTAATGCTAATTCATGTAAGGGCGTTCTGAACATTTCCGGGGTCATATGTTCATCCATTTTATTAAACCGTGCTTTAGAGCATAAATGAAAACAAAATCCCGGTTTAACACGTCCTGCTCGACCTTCCCTCTGTTCTAAATTTGTTCTGCTAGCCCAAACAGTAGCATAGTTTGTCATGTTATTATGAGAAGTAAAAAGCTTCATTTTAGCTTTACAAGAATCTATCACATAGACTACATCATTAATTGTAATCGAGGTTTCAGCAATATTTGTTGCTAAAATAATTTTTGTTATTCCTACATCTACAGGATCAAAAACTTTACGTTGATCTTCTCTAGGTAACTGGGAATGTAATGGTATAATTACATAATCTGGTCCACCATAAACGGGATGTTGTTGTAAATGTTTCATTAACGCAAATATTAAATTCCAGCCTGGTAAAAAAATTAAAACAGCACCTGGAATACCTTGTTCCTTGATATATCTCAGTAAAGCCTCTATGAGCTCGAAACTTATTTCTTTTTCAGTCAGTTGTGCCATGGCATTTTTTGTTTGGATAGAATAAGTTTCACCAATGACTTTATTCAAGTTTTCCTCTGGTTCTCCTTCTGTTGGTAAATCATCTGTATCCCGACTTTTACGTTTCTTGGAATCCATAGGTGGTACGAAATTTGTTAATTGTATACAATCTTCTAAAAAATATCGTTGAACCGGGTATGATCTGCCTGGTACTTCTATTATCGGGCAATTATTGAAGTAGTTGCTGAATAATGTTGTATCAATTGTAGCCGACATTAAAATAATTCGTAAATCTGGATACATATGAATCATGTCACGAAGAACGACCATAATGAAATCAGAATTGACATCTCGTTCATGAATTTCATCAACAATAACATGCGATACACCTCTTAAACCACCTTCTAATTTTCTTAAAAGTACACCAACAGTACAGAACATTATGCTACCATAAGGTCTTGGTAAAGCAGATTCAAATCGTACAGAATAACCAACAGACTCTCCTAAATTTTCACCTCTTTCTGTGGCAACCCGATCAGCTACAGATACAGCAGATATTCTCCTGGGTTGCGTAATTGCAATACTACAGAATGCACCTTGACCTGATGCAATGTAATCGTCTAAAATAAACTGACATACTTGAGTTGTTTTACCACAACCTGTGTTTCCTTGAATAATAATAATAGAATTTTCATTAATAGCATTCATTATTTCATTTTTCATCGAGAAAACTGGCAAAGTAGATCTTTCTTTAATAATCTGTTGAAGATTAACATCTTGTTGCAGTCTTTCACGTTGCTCATATAGTAAATCTTCTGACAACTGTTCTAAAGTCATTGCAGCAAGTGGTCCCTCGTCTATATTACAACCGGTCCATGGATCCCAATTTTGTTGTGGAGGAGACCAACTTACTACACCAGCAGGCTGTGGTACAGATGAAATAAAGTCATCCAATACTTGATTTGTTAATAGAGAAACAGCATTGGTAGATTGATCTTCTTGTTGTTGAACTGATTCCTATAATATAAATTTGCATTGTAAAATAAATCATATATTTATATATAATTATAACATGGCATAACTTGTAATAAGAATAACATTAATGTTGATAACCACTAAAAATTACCTCAACCGATTTGATGGAAATGGGTGTTACGTTTAAACTTGTAAGAATATCGCATATTTGATCGATTAATTCTGGTGAAATTTTAACTGGATATGGTTTCATTTGTTCTGCTTCTTTATTCTTTTTTAAAGTACCATTAAATGCCTCGATAACACCAAGATGATATAACTGTCTGACAAGAGATAAAGCACAACTTTTTGATGCAGTTTGCTTATTCGAACCAGTTTCCCGACCAGTAATGTCTAAAATTTATTTTGTTAAAATTTTTTATTGTGAAGTTCATATAAATAATTAAGCTATTTAATAACATACCTCTCCCAAGCTGTTTTACATAAAACGTCATTTCAGCCATGAAACTCCTATACAGAAATTTGTACTTGTATTATTAATATTCTATGTATACATGTGTGTATACAATATACATAATAAAAAACAATCACAATATAAATTCAACTTACATTTAAAATTTTTCAAGACCACATTGGAGCACATTGCAGTAAGTTATTGTAAGTGACTGCACCAAAACTGTTATTGAATCATTTCAATAGAAGTTCTGGTTAAACATCATCTCCATCTGTGCACAAGAGAAACAATTTTTTCTCTTGTACCAGCATTAAATATAAATGAACGGTGTACTTCAAAATGGTCTTGTGGAATTTCAAATGGTACAGAAATCACTTGTGCAATTGCTTCTTATTATGTTGTAATAAATCTTTAGTGTAATCTGAGACTTCAAATAGAATTATATTGCAGTGACAAATCCACCCAGTGCTACAGTAAATGGCTACATTGAAACAGTTCATACCTTGTATGATCTGGACCAAGTTGGGTATATTTATAATCAGTATTAATTTTATTAGTTTGCATAAATTGATGAAGTTTTGATTTAGCATTTTCTATAGTCCAATTTCCATGAATTCCAGAATTTACATCAACATCTTCTGCATCTTCAACTCTTTTCTGGTCTGCTATTCTATCCATGTACGTATAATTGCCTTGACCATGTTCATTATATACTCTATATGCATGTCCTATATCATTAGGACCCATTCCATCTTGAAACACAGATTTTGTTGTAGGATTCTGAACTTCCACTTTAATAGGTACTGTATCAAATGGTTGAAGATTGTTTGTATCTTTTGGAACATCATTAGCATTTACATGTCCTGTACGGACTAAATAATTAACGTAGTCCCTAGCTGCATTGCCTTGAGCATCTTTTTTGTTAGTTGAATTTCCTGCACCTACATAATCAAATCCAGGTATACGTAGCTCACAGAGAAAACGCTGTCTATGTTTCAACCCTACAAAATAATAGAATTAAGTAATTTTTAACATTACATTGCTTACAAAATAATTGTACAATACCTGTTGGTCTCACATCAAATTGTGGTTCTTTGCCATTTTTTGTACACCATTGATGCAGAAAAGATTTTATATCACCCATCTTTAACTTTTATTAGTACTTCAAGGGGTACGTTTCAAATATTTAATAGGTAAAATTGATAATATAACCTACACTATATAGTAGTAAATTCGTAAACACTGATTAGACATTAGGCAGCATC